GGCCGTACCTGGGTGAAGACGGCGTTCTTGCAGCTGGGGTCCAGCGCGGGCTGGGCGCGGTGCTCCCGGGCCAGCTGCCGGTTGATGCACAGCTTTGGCGCGGCGTTAGGTGGCTTGCTCTCCGAGGACTCGAGACAGTGGGTGATGAGGGCTGTGCTCTGCTTGGACAGCAGCAGGAACGGCTTCATGCTCTAGCAAGGGACACGCAGGGGTAGTTAGAGGCCTGATCCTGCTACCATGTGCCCTCTTTCTCCCTCCCCAAGCACAGCCCCTGATGTCTCAGGGGACACTCAGCTCCTCCATCCCTCTGACAACGTCCAGCACAGCAGCTCTCAGTCCTGGGCTCATTTGGCCCTATCAAATCAAGAAGGACACACCACAGCCCCTGGCAAAACCAGCTGAGCCCGTGATGAGATGCTCCTACCAGCACCATCACGGGGGAGTCTGGCAAACACTCACCCTGAGAACATTGAAGGTGCCAATGCTGTCCTCAGAGAGGGGGATCAAGTAATGCAGGACACTGTCCAGTAGATGGACGAACCTGGAGACGGGAGAGAAGCGCCTTGAGAATGTGAGGAGGTTAGTGGAGGTGTGGAGCCTGATACACCCATGGCACTTTACTGCAGGCAGCCCCAGGCACACACCGAGCCTGGGCACTGTGCTCCCTGCACGCAGGTCTTCTGCAGCCCCTGGAGGGACACCAGCACACTAAGGGGAGCACACAACCAGCACCCTCTGGCCTAAAGCCGTAAGCAGAGGGCAGCCCAGCCCACGCTACAACACTGCAGGTGAATGCTCTGCAGCGGGGGTCTCTCTGAAGAGCCAGTGCTGACCCCAGCCTGGGGCTGCCCTGCAGGCAGCAAGGTGGGCATCTCCACACGATGCAGGTCATCCTTGCCCCGTGGCATCACCATGCTCCCCAGACATTGGCAACAGACACGTTCAGATGGGGAGCAGCAAGCCAAAGTCCCTGCCGCACATGGGAAAGGAGTTGGAAGACTCTAAGCAAGAGACTGGCAACCCCCTGCTAGGGGCCAGGGCACAGTTCCTCTTGGAGCCCGGGCTCACCGCAGGGACGGCGCCGTCCCTGTGCCCTACCTCTGAATGAGCACGGCCCGCCGGTACAGCACATCCTTCTGCACTCCTTCCAAGAGAGGGTAGCGCACCAGCTGGGCTGGCTGGAACGTGTCAGCATTGAGCTTCAGGTCCCACTCCCAGAAGGACTTGATCTTAATCCCTCGCAGGCGGACGTTGTACCCTTGTTCTGCCAAGAAAGGACAGCGAGTGGTGCTGCGTGCACAGCTGCAGCTGTGCGGCCAGCACAGCTCGGAAGCTGGAACTGGAGGAAAGGAGCCCCCAGCACCTGCGGCATCCCAAATGAAGGTCATTCCCCAGGTTTTCCTCCAACAGATCCCAAAAAGCAGCGGGTGTGGCAGGAATCATGGAACCACTATGGATGGAAAGGACCTCTAGGATCACCAAGTCCAAACTCCATCCAAACATTTCCCTAACCACTAGACTGTAGCCTCAAGTGCTACATCTACTCATTTTTTGACTAACTCTAGGGATGACAACTCCACCACCTCCCTGGGCAGCCCGTTCCAGTGCCTAACCACTCTCTCAGTGAAGAAATTCTTCCTAATATGCAATGGAAACCTCCTCAGTTTTAAGAAAGAGCCGCAGGGGCCAGTCTGGGCCACAGGTTCAGGGCCGGGCTGGCAGCACAGGCTCACCTCGGCATTACAGGATGTGGATCTCCAGCACTGGCAAGTGGGCCTTCATGTCGCGGAGGATGCAGACCTTCCCATAGCTGTTCCTGCACACAGCATGGAGGGAGATGGCAGAGCTGCGAGGCTCTGACACCAGTGAGCCAGCCAGCAAGGCGTGGGCCACTCTGGCTCCCCAGCCGAGGACGCGCCGCTCCCCGTGGCAAAAGCTCTCCCTGCCTCATCGGGGCTGCGGCAAGAGGGGACCGAGTGGAGAGAAGAGGCTGTCAGAAGCACAGAGACGTCCTGAAGAAGGTGGAAGCTGCATCCAAAGAGCCAGAAAAGAGCTTAAATTCAAAGCAGAACAGAAAGGCAAGAGGGCCAAGAATGAGTCGCTGTTCCCAGGGGGTTCTGGTGCATCTTGCAATGGCACAACCATCCTTCAAGCTAGGCCGGTCACAAAATGGTGATGTTTTAAAGGAAACAGGAACTTGTGGTGATGAGCAATTTGGTGATTCATTTGTATTTCCAATGCCTTTGGCAAGGTCCCACCCAACCTATGGGCCCGTGGAGAAAAACACTGCAACTGCCCAGATACAGCAAGGTGAAGGCTCCTGCCATCACCAGGAAGGAAACTGTGGCAATCTCATTGATGCCTCTTCAAAGACAAATCTCACCGCTCAGTCAAAAAAAAGGCAAACAGGCAAGTTTTTGGGAAGGAGGAGGAGATCTTTGAACCCCTGTGTAAACTCCTGCCTGCCTCGAGAAGGGTGCTGCAGCAGAGGGAGAGGTGAAACACCCCAAGACTTCTCAGCTACATCACAATAGAAATGTTCAGAAAGGTGACAGCAGCGACACAGGTCCCCAGAAGAGAGGAGGAAGAGACAGAAAGACCCCCAAAGTTACCAGGCAGAAAGAAGCTGCTGCAGCACAGATGAGGAGCAGGAGCGGAGATGAAGGCGCTTGGCTAGCACATGGAAGCTGGGGACCACCGCGCTTGTACAGCCTGCACCCAAGAAACTTCAACCCACACAGAGCCACTGTCACTACCAGGTCACTCAGGACCTGCCCCAGCCCCTTTGTTAGCATCTGCTCAGGATGCAGAGACAGCTTGGGAGTTTGACCCAAACTGGACCCAGGCTGCTCCTCACTCATTACTCACTCATTAATTAGGACAGTTCTCAGGTGCTGCAGCCTGTTTGGTGGCCCTCCATACACAGCCACCCGCCTGGGTATATAGGAGCTGACCTGCCCATCCAGCATCAGCCACAGCTTCCTGGAGATGAGAAGAGCAAGGAGCAGTGTTGTCCTCCCCTCCCAAGCTGCCTGGGCACAGAGATGCCCCTAGAGATGTCCCAGGCTGGGGGCAAGCCTGTGTCCTCCTGGGTTGCATCTGGCAGCAGCTGTCCCCCACCTCAACCCTGAGACCCCAGCTGCAGGCTGGGGAAAGCTGTGTTCAGGAGGAAGATGGTGCTCTGCCCCACACCCTGCCCATCCCTGGCACAGCCAAAGGGAGGGGACACCCTGAGGTCTTACGTGACGATGGCGCCCTTCTTCATGTTGAGCCGCACCCAGTGCTGCCCTGGTGACCCGTTGCTCTCCCAGTAGGTGTGTGTTTGGTTGTCCATCAGATGGGCTGCGCCACAGTCGTCCTGCGAAAGTCCCATGAGCTGAAGGAGGGAGCTGAGCTTCCTTTGGCATGCTGCGGCCACCCCTTAGACAGGTCTTGTGAGGCTGGAGAAGGTCAGGACTAGGCCAGCCCCACAGTTTTCTAGGTTGCAGGTGGATGGTGTCTCCCGCACAGAGCAAGTTGGGCACAACCATGGACCCCCAGTAGTGCCCCAGAGACACAATGGGGTTTTGTTCCACATGCCCAACTCCTAACAGCTTTGCTAGAGCAGCAAACCCCCAGCACCATCCCGGGCCTCTCACCAAGGGGACAGCAACCGCCTGCTGCTCCTCCCCTCAGCTGTGGCAATGCTCGCATGTCTCACACTGATTTTAGGCTGTGGAGAAGCTCCACTACGCACCATCTGTGAGGAGACTTCGATGCTGCTGAGGAGCTCCTTGATGTCGTCCCTGTGCTGCAGCTCACTGTGGTCATACAGGAAGCGCCCCAGCTCCATATCATGGTCATAGCTCCAGCCCAGGGGCACAGACCTGAAGAGAGGCACTGTGTTAATGGGACGGTGAGACCAGGCTGCACCCCAAACCCACCCACCAGCACTGTGCAGGTGCACCAGCTCGCACTGGCTGCAGCAGTGGGATGCCACTGGGAAGCTGTCCCTGCCACAGGCAGATGGCACAGCTGTACCTCACCAGCATCATGCCAGGTATTTATGGCCACCCCAGCCCAGTGGGAATAGCACCGTGCAGTCGCTTTGATGCTCCACAGAGCAAAGGCCAACTTTGCCTGAGCAGCTTCAAACAATATCAATGTAAAAGGCATCTCATGGCACCCATCCTTCCCGCTCCCCAGCCTGAAGCCAGTCTTGCCCCATGGGCATGTCCAGGGCCTGAGTGCCTGCCCCTTCTGGTACCACTCTAGGAGATACACTCATACCGAAACTTCTCCACCGCGGCCTCATCCTGCTCTATGAGTCTGGGCTTCTCTCCAAGGTGCATGGAGTAGGTCAGGTCCACCACTTGTTCCCAGCTGAAGCAGCACCAGTGATGAAGTCGCACAAGGGAAAAGATGGGTCAGCACATCCATTCGTTACTGCCTTATTCTGGAGTGGAGGCACCAGCTGTGAGGGACTGGGGGGGTGACACCTAGGGGTTGCAGGACCAGATGTAGGAGGGATGAGAGTGTCCCTGCACCTGGGAGCAGGCTGAGGCAGAGTGGAGCAATCCAGCTCTGCACGTGCCCTTCTGTCACGAAAATCAAACATGAGCTCACTTGTCACTGGGTCACCTCAGCAACATCACTCAGCCCGAGACCGAGTGCCTCAGAACCCTCCCGCCATCATCTTTATCCTGCACGGGTGCTACCACAAGCACACAGGGCTAGTCTACAGGGGGGTACCCTCCTCCTGCCCACAGGCAGCTCGGCAGAGACGTATCCCAGACGTGCTGGAGGGGGCGAGGAGGGCTGTGCTGGATGTGCCCAGGGGATTTGGGATGGTCGGGTCGCACATCTTCTGGGGGTAACGGCCGCACGTGCCTTCGGCGCCCACAGCCACCGTGGTCTCTATCCGGGGCGCGGCGGCTCGGGCCGTACCTGGTCGCAGGTTTATAATCGACCCCGAGTGTTTGGTGCTGCCACTGGATCTTCTCCACGGAGTCGACCGGGATCAACTTATCGCCTCCCTCTCCAAACCTCTGCGCCAGGACCCAGCCTTCATCCAAGTGATGGCAGCCCGCATATTCCTCCAGCTGCTCCTGGAAGC